CGACCGCGATCGCGAACCGGGGCCCCGTGCGCTCGAGCCACGGACCAAGAAACGCAGCCGAGAGACCGAGAGAGCCCATCGCAAGGTAGAAGGTGACGACCGCTTGGCCAGCTCTCGGGTCGCCAAAGATGTAGTTGTCAATGTACGCATTGTAGACCGACCACGCGTAGAGCGACCCAACGCAAAACTGCGAGACAAAGGCCGCGGCGAGGAGGTGCCAACGGCTAAAGCGCACGTACGTGGCGACGTGGTAGGTGTCGCAGGCAAACGGCGATGGAACGCAGAAAAGGAACGCCTCGGCGTCAATCTGCCGCGGCGACTTTGGCAAATTCTCGACGCTCCAGTGCGACTGCAGCAGTGCAGACAAGCCCATGACGCGGTGACTTGGAAAGTGAGGTATATTTTTGAAGCACGACCAGATCGACACGTGTGCAAGAACCTTCTTTGTTGACCTCCTCCTACATTGTACTACGAATGGCGAAAGGCGGACTCTAAAGATACGGCTGCTTGCTTGAGTCTGGACTTGGTGGGACCCAGGTACCACCCTTTCGTTTTGAAACGAGATGTTGAACCAAACTACCGTACTCGACGCCCAAGACAGCGTCCAACATGCACCAAGCCACGTTCCGCTACCTCTGGCCCGTGCTCTGCGCCTGCGTCTGGTTCAATATCTGGCGAGTCTATAACGATCGCGTCTTTCGCGCCGACCTACCGCTGCCAAGTCCATGGACGATTGCCGCCAAGAGGGCGCGTGTCGCTCAACTGCACTTGCACCACAGCGTCGTACAAGAGCCCGAGCAGCCTGCTCGTCGTCGGCTTCTCCGGCTCCTCGCCCAACACGAGTGGCCCCGACGTTACTTGTCCTGCGGATCGCGCTCCTGCCTTCGCCCGCCTAAATCAAGTTCCTCTACCGAGTGTACACAACTCCTAACCTCCTACACTTTTATTTAGCATAGTTTATCTATTGTAATAGACGATCCACTTCAACATCAACTACCAGTACCGTGATCTGGACGCTCGTGATTTTTCCGGATATACGCGCATTCGATTGGTCGGTGGAGGTTGAACCTGACGTGCACATCATGTGATGATCAACTGAGCGATGACAGCCATCGACGCGACCCTCGGTGATCAATACCCACACGAGCGACGCTTACTGATCTTCTTGGCACCGGCGGGACACCCTTGACCGATACGTCCAGCGGCTCGGATCCGTCGATCGTGTGGTTAGTCTGTATGTCATGGTTGCGCGAGCTAGTGGTCCGGGGATGCCAATGACAGGGATATTGTGGTCAATTGCTAGAGAGCTCTCGCAAGGCTACAGTAGTGCCCACCGTCGCCAGAGATCGCCAAGAATCTAGTACCCGGTTCGTCACTAACGTTACTCCACTTCAATGTGGGAGGGACCAGCTTTCGGGAAAGCAAGTCCTTGAGGTAGCTTCGATGCGCTGTCGTCGCTGAAGTGATCGCGATGGGATTTGATGACTGGCGCGATAGCTTGGCGTGGTAAGCTGGCGTGTTACGTGCAGATTCGCCCAGCTGTTTGGTCATCCTATCCGGTTCACGTTTATCCGGAAAATTCGAGCGCGACCAGGTGTCGTTGAGAAGCGTCGCCTTCGTCCGAGGTTGCTACAACAATTTGTATTACCTAAACCGTGTGTGACGCAGCTCATCTTCTCGCACGCGCCGACGCTGCTTAGCACTATACTAGTACTAGTACTAGCATGTCTTCGGCGGGCTCACATCAGTCGACGCCATCGATCGAGGTGGTACAGTAGCTTCGCTCGTATTTGACTACCGTGCGAATGACTTGCCTTTTGTCCAGCTTCATTTCAATCGTACTTGAATACCGTACTAGCCTTTCATCCAGCTTGATTTCGATCGTCCTCATAACACATACTCCCCATGGCCCAACAGAGTCATCGCCAAGGGCAAGCGTCGTGGTTCGACAACTCTGACATCTTGATTATGGTTGTCCAGTGCACGGCGGAGCCGCGTGGCGTTCTCTCACGTCTTCAAGTGCTGTCACGCGCGTGCTCACGCCGGCGCAAACAGCGCTTCGACAGATCTTGTCCAAAAGCAAGCACAAACAGTGGCCTTAGTATTGGTATATGCCGTAAATAACCACAAATAGACACATTTAGACGCCGCACGCCCGCGGCGTCGAGAGAGTGAGCACAATTCATGATTAAAACGAAAGCGCTCATACTTCGCATGGTAATAGAACATACTTCGGAGAGTACGAAACGTTATGTGGTGTCAGAGCTTCTCCACCCGTCCGCGCTATCTCTATCTGGCTCTTTAAAATTTCAAAAATTTACCGGGGAAACGCCCCACCGGTCCCTGTAAATCGCCCTGTATCTGTATAATTTTTACAGGGGAGCAAAAATTGGCCGAGGTCCCTGCAAATTGGAGCGCGATGCGGGGCTCGCGGCCACTCTGGCTTTTTACCCTGTAAAACTCTAAAGTACTTGCTGTTTGTATACTAGTCAAAAATAAATATAAAATCGAATTTCTAGACGAAGTTCGTAGTTATCGACGCCATACATTTCGCGACTCCCTGCATCTTTTTACAGGGCGACCGGTGGGGCATTTTTTTTTAGCGCGCTGTATCCGGCGATACAGTATGAAATCCCACCGTAAAAAGCCAGAGCCAGAGAAGGATACGGGGTACCGGTGGAGATGCTCTCACCGTTCGAGCTACGTAGCGAGAGTTATTGGCTTATGAACCATAAACGTTGCAGCGTTACGATATTTGGCTCACGGACGAAAGGAAGAAAGAGAAAAAAGAGGGAAGGAAGCAGCGAGAACGCTGGGAAAGCAGCGTGCCTGTCTATGTCATTCACTCGAAGACAACACGCGTCCGTGCTCCGTCTGGGCTTCCAGGAAGTGCTCCTTGGAAGCATTAGACTTGATGTTTGTATTGGAGGTGCCATACTTGAGCCAAAAAAACGATTTACGGTCCACGCGACTAGCATTTTGACCAATCAAATGCATTTTGGATCCTGATTGGCTCTGTTACGAAGCTCCGTCGATTGGATTGGCCCCGATAGATAAAAAGAAACATAGAGCACTTAGTATCGCGCTGACAAACCCCATGGACGACCAGTAAGCTCCGACGCCAACCTCGCCCGCGCCGACCTCGCCCGCGCCAACCTCGCATGTGCCTACCAAGCCCGCGAGTACCGAGCCCGCGCCCACAGGCTCAACACTCGTCGCCTACAGGGCTTTGTGATGTGGCTCCCATCCAGCTCGTTCAGCCCATCGTTGTCAACCGTGCAACGACGCGCGAAGTTGTAGTTGCCGCGCCATCGGCAAAGCCTCCTGCAGAGGAGCGGGCGAAGCGCGCGCGCCGATAGCGGCGATGCCCGAGCTGCAAGAAGCCAACCGACCATCACCCGCAGGACCCTTCCAAGCTTGCCGAAGCATGCGAGGTCGGTGTTTAGGCAAGACACCGACGCGCCCTGCACAAGAAGCATCGCCGCACGTGTGATGCGTCGTGCGCCCACGTCATCATCACCAGGAATGGTGGGCAGTCGGACCTCGAGTCCTGCGAAGAACGGTGGGCCTTGCTGTCGCACGCGCAACAGATCCAAGCGCTCGAGGAGGCCCGGAACTGTTTCGGCGTAAATTGAATAGATGTCCTGCATTGTGTGACGTCGGTGTCGCCTGGCATGCTTCCTACACAGCCCCGATTGCCGGAGCTCCGCTCCTTATATCGCCCGCAGCTATCCGCGTTCGTATCGCAGCTTCACTTAACACTATTTACGTTGCCCAATTGCCTTTGGTGATTTCTGGTATTGCTTTTGGTTTTAGCCAATCAAACACTGTGATAGATAAAAAAATTGCAACGGGAGTCTAAGGTTCGCCGAGTTATTGACGATATATGGTGCATACTATTAAAAACTATTATTTTCTAATATAGTGTATGGATTCAAATCGTGTATTAAAACGCTAGAGGCGCCGTAGCGGACTCTAGAGCCACCATCATCAATGTAATATGCTCTCCGATACCATATAAGAGAGATAGCGCACTCGGAGTTTGCGAAAATTCAACATTTTTACTGGAATTTATATGTACAAGTCGGCGAAAGACGACGCTCGGCAGTACGACTTTGCTGTGAGAGCCCAAGCGCCTACCACGTCACAAACGCAAGTCGCTGGGCCAGTCCATATACATAGCCAACTGTGGCTGCCCGCGTCGGAGTTTGTCGAGTTTTCGAACTGCGCGAAAACACGTTGTGCACCGGGGCGTATATTTGACCACCTCGAAGAATCAACGTTTGAATTCGCATGCCTGGGCTGCGTTCGGTGTCCAAACCTTCTTCTCCATGATACAAGAATGCTATAGAACGACAGGAACCGGTGCGGCCTCGCGTTAACGCGTCTGTGTGGCGTCGATCGTGGTTGCGCTGGTGATGCTCACACCATTTAAGATATATCAACTTGAAATACTGTTTCTCTGGATACGTGCTGGTCGGTTGGCCATTCCACACGAATCCTTACGTAACGCGCATTGTGTAGTGATATTGAGTACCGGTAGAAGAGCCACTATGTATCGGGCTCGCCGCACCCCTTCAATGTTGCCCCAGCGGGTGGAATCCGTGTCGACCAATAGGTCGCTCTCTACGCCGCTGGCGCACCTAGAAGTCGCACCACCGGTATGGACAAAAGGTCAAGCTCGAAGGCCGCAGCATCGTCTAGTGGCGCGCACCGGATATCCAGATAATGAGGCTAACAACACGCAGCGTTGCGAGTAATTGCGTCGATGGCCATTTCAACTTGCTTGGGGAAAGGCAGTCGCCGTGTATTCACCTTGTCGGGTGGTCGAGAGGTGGGCTTAAGACGATGGAATCCAAACGGCAACTGACGCTCCATCTATACTGCATGGTCTCGCCGTTCTGCCTGGGACCGGGCGTCGAGTCTTGATGACATGAACGACAACTGAATATGACATGGGTTATCGAGTGGTGTTTACAGGCAGCTACGCATATCTGTCTCTACTTCGCGCCTTCGTCATCGCTGTCGTCCTCGTTGACCTTGAGCTTGGAGAGCACACGGCGACCGTACTCGGCGAGGAGCTTGCCTTGCTCGGCGCTCGCACAATACTCGACAAGCGTCTCGGGACGCGTCGCGACCTCGAGCACGTACAAGAGCGCGCGCTCGGCGCCGAGCTTGATGTTGATGTTGGGGCTCTTGATGAGCGCAAAAATCGGCGGCACGAGCGCAGCCAGGTGCTGGCGCACACGCTTCGGGGCGACCTTGGCCATGCGCTTGACGACGCGCAGCGCCGTACGGTTGACATCCTTGTTGACAGCGTCCGTGAGGCCCACAACGAGCGCCTGGACAACGTCCGCCGACACAAGCGCCGCGTCGACCTTGACCGCAAGACCAAGCGCCGTGAGGCTCGACGACTTGACGAGCGGGTTCTCGTCACGGGCGAGCGCCACGAGCGTCGGGACGACCGGCGCCGCAAGCGTGTTGGCAACCCACGTCGGCACCGGCGAAAGGCTGAGCAAGCCTGACGCAACCAGCGCCGACGAGTGGCGAAGCGTCCAGAGCTCCGTCGACGGTTGCACGAGCTCCTCGACCATCGCGACACCGTGTTCTTCGCTGCCGAGCGAGAGCGCGAGGGCAAGGCCGTTGCTCGCACGCACACGGAGGAGGTCGTCGTCCGTGATGAGAAGGCCGCGAAGGGCGTCCTCCACCGCGAGCACAGCCGACGCCGAGACCTTGGCGCCGACGCGGGTGAGGATCGCAACGAGCGCGTCGAGGTTGGCCTCCTGGACGCCGCCCGTCGTCGAAGCAACCTTGTCCGTGAGCTCGGCAATGAGCGGGTCAATGCGCGGCGAGAGAGCAACGAGGTGGACGAGGGCCGAGCCACCGCACGCGCGCACGGACGCGCTCGTATCGTTGAGCGCCTTGACAAACGTCGTCTGGAGCTGCGGCAAGAACGGCTTCAGCGCGACACCGCCCTTGACGAGCAAAATTTCGAGCGTCGAGAGGATCGCAGCCTTGACGTGGCCCGGGAAGCGGTCGCCAGCGATACGGATGAGCGGGCCCGTGATCTTGATAAGGACGCTCTTGAGGCACGCGGGCGACGCCAGCTGCACAAGCTCGCCGAGACCTGCCGCAGCGCTTTGGCGCGCTTCGGGTGTACCGTTCATGAGCGCGTGCTGGTACGCCGGCAGGAACGGGTCGAGGCCCTTGGGCAGCGCAAGCGCCGGCAAGATGAAAAGGCCCGTGGCACCAACACCGCCCTTGCGATGGCGCGCGTCACTGACAATCGAGCTGAGGTTGTTGCGGATAAAGTCGATGTGCTTGGCGAGCTCATCGGGCCGGATCGTCGTGTTGAGGCTGCTGAACGCCAAGAGCGCGGCCTCGACGACCGAGGCATCGCTGTCGTTGAAGCGCGCGAGGACGTACTTGAGGAAGATCGGGACTTGTTCGTCGTACGAGACGGTCGCCGACTGGCAAAAGGCGGCAATGAGCCAGCACGCAAGGTACCGCGTCTCAGCAATGTCGGCCTCGCAGTACTTGCAAATCTCGGCCGCGAGCCACTGGACGCCAGCGGCCTCGACACTCAGCGCGACCGCACGCACCGAGTGCTGGATCGCTGCCGCCATCTCGTCGTTCGGGCGGCTCGTGACGACGGAAACGTATTCGTTGAAGAGCACCTGGAGAATGCGATCCATGTGGTAGTGCAGCACCGCACCCGAGACCGACGCAATGTGCGCGATCGCTTGGACGTTGGACAAGGCCATCGGCGTCGTAAGAAGGCGCGGCACGAGGTACGGAAGCACCTCACGCGACTTGACCTTGAGCACTTCCTGGAGACCAGCAAGCGCGCGCTCCTGGACGAGGTCGTCCACCGACGTAATGCGCTTGAGGAGACGCGGGATGAGTTCGTCAATCGAGCGGTAGCCCATGCTCTTGTGGAAGACATCGAACGCACCACCGGCCGCGCGGCGGACCTCGGGCAGCGCGTCACAAAGTGCGTCTTCGAGTGCAACAACAAGCGTCTCGACGAAATCTTCGAGCTGCTTCTTGGGCGAGCACTGGATGACCTCGGCGAGGCCGAGGCAGACGCCCTGGCGCATGCCGGCGGGGTTCATCGGGTCGAGGCCCGCGCGCAGGATCGGGACGACCTCGGGCATGACACGCTCGCCAAGCTTGCGCACGATTTCGCCGAGCGTGCGACCAGCGACGGTCTGCTTCTCGACGTTCTTGCCCGAGAGCGCTTGCACGATGAGGAGCATGAGCGTCTCGAGGATCGAGCGCAGCGTCTTGGGTGTGTTGGAGACGACGCTCTTCCACACCTGGAGGGCGCTCTGGCGCACGACGGCCGACGTATCCGAGCGCACCATGTAAAGCGCAGCGAGGACCGCGTCCCGGCGCGGCTTGCTGAGGATCTTGAGCATCGCCTTCTCGCCAGCGGCGCTGCCTGCATCGGCGCCATCGTCGTCGTCGTTGGCCGACATGACGACCGCCTTCGTGCCACTGACGCGGTACAACAAGTCGCCGAGGAGCGAGATCGACGACTGACGAATGCGCCAGTTGTCGTCAAAGATACCAGCCTCAAGCGCAGGCAAAATGTCCTTCGTGTTGGAAAGCGCGTGGGCGTTGACGACAATCGAACCTGCGTGCATCGCTACGTCGCGGACACCTTCCGACTCGTCCGAGAGACCCGACACAATCATCGGGAGCGCCTTGCCAAGGTACTTGGAGAAGCCCTTGCCAAGCGCCGGCGGGAGGAACGCCAGCACCCAGAGGACACCTTCGCGGACCGCGGCCTTGGGGTGGCGCGCGATCGGAAGGATTTCGTCGCGCAGACCATGGTCGAGCGCATCCGGGCCAAGGTTGACGAGCACCTCGCAGAGACCCTGGGCCGAACCCGACCGCTCGACAGACGACGATTCCGACTTGATGGCTTGCAGCAGCGACGGCACGAGGTGCGGGAAGTGGCTCTGACCGAGGCCCTTGACGAGCATACCAAGCGCCTTGGACGCGACCGTGCGGACCTCGGGAATCGGGTCGAGCAGCTGCGTCTGGAGGCAGGGTGCGATCGTGTCGAGGTACGGCGCGAGGTCCTTGGCGTCGTTGACCATCGAGCACATGTTGCCAACGATGAGCGCAGCCTTCTTCTTCGTCTCCGAGACGCGGTCCGTCAAGCCGCGCTGGAGCACGGGCATCACAAGCGCAAGCGACGGCGCGTCGATCGAGTGCACAAACTTCATCGACTGGAGCGCCTGCATCGCGTCCGTCGTCTTGCGGTTCGGGTCCTGCAAACCGGCGAGCAAAATGGAGGCGATCGAGGCAATTTCGGGGTTGCGCACGACATGCGCAATGTCAATGAGCGCCGCGTGGCCAGCCTCCTTGACACGCGGGTGCGAGTCCGAGAGCGACGCCGTGAGCTTCGGGATGATCTGCGGCAAGCACGAACCCAGCGGCTTGGGCGCGCACGACGCCATGGCGCCGAGAAGCTGGATGGCAGCCTGCTTGGTTCGCCACGCCGGATCGTCGACAGCGCGCAAGATCGAAGGCAGAATGAGCTTGACGCCGTGCGCCGAGAGGTTGCGCATGATACCCTTGGACGTGCCGCTCGCGGCCTCGCGCACGGCCGCACTCGTGTCCGCAAACGACTTGAGGAGGATCGGAAGGATCACAATCACATACGGCTCAAAGAGGAAGCCGAGGCGCTCGCAGAGGCACTCCATGACGGACAAGGCGCCTTGGCGAGCGTTCGGGTTGGAGATCTTCATCGCTTCTTCGAGGCGCGGAATGACCAGATGCTGCTTGAGCGCGGCGATACCAAGGCCCTTGACAACGGCCGAAACACCGAACGCGGCACCCATGCGGTCACCAAACGTCTCGCCCGTCGTCGCCTTCGTGAGAAGGTCGTCAAGGATCAACGGACTTTCGTCCTTGACCGCGAGCATGAGCGGCGACAAGCACGTCGCAATCGCGCGCTGGACGGCCTCGGACGGGATCGAGAGCGACGCGAGCAGCTGGTGCACGATCGACGAGACCTTCGGGTCGGCCTTGTCCATGTGCTTGGCGAGCGACCCGAGGCAGACGACGACGCCTTCGCGCTTGTGGTCGTACGCCTCGAGCTCCTTGGGCGACGCATTCGCCGCCGGCACTTCAATGCGCGCTTCGAGGAGCGTGAGAAGGCCGTTGGTGTACACAGCACCGTACGAGTCCATCATCTGGACACCGGCCTTGCGCATGGACGCGCGGACGCTGTGGTGCATGTCGCCGAGGCCAAACGAGAGGATGAACTGGACGCAGCTCATGACGTGCTCGCGCGAGAGGATCTCTGTCTTGGCGCAGTGCTCCATGCACGCACCGGCGCCGAGGCGCGGCAAAACCGTCGACATGCTTTCGTCCGCCTCCATGTCGTTGTGGCGGCGCACGACAGGGGCGCCAAACGCATCAAGCGTGGCCTCGGCGTCGCCCTTGGCCGGGACGTGCTGCAAGAAGGCCGACTGGATGCCCTTAAGCGTCGGCGCGATCGTGTCGGGAAACTGCTTCATGCCAGTGGCCAACGCCGCAGCGGCCGCGTCGCGGACGTTGGCGTGCGCATGGCGAAGCAGCGGCAACAGGATGGGTCCCATGACCGTTTCCTTGGTGAGCGCTGCGTCTGAGAGCGGCCAAATGGCTTCGGCCAGCGTCTTGTTCTCTGCGTCGTTGTCAAAACGAGCGACAAACAGAATCGTCGAGAGCATCGGCGTCGACGCAATCAACGTCGCCTTGGCGTTCTCGGCGTCCTCGTCCTCATCTTCGTCGTCGTCGTATTGCGCTTCGACCATGGCGAGCGTCGCCTTGAGGCACGCACGGCGAGCCTGCACAAGCGTCGAGAGCAAGCCGTGGTCGCCGACGATCGGTGCCCACTCGTCCAACGACAAGGGTGCGCCGGCGCAGATCTGCTGCAAGACAACGTCCGGCGAGAGGTTCTCCGACGCCGGGATCTCTTCCTTGATGTCGTGCTCGATCCACGCGAGCGTGACCGCAAGCATGCTCTTGCGCAGCAAGCGCTGGGCCGCCATGTCGCCGACCTCGAGCTCCTCTTCCTGGCTGATCATCTTGGCGTGAACAGCAAAGAGCGGCAGCACAAACTGCCGGCACGCCATCGAATACTCCAAGAACGTCCGGAGGATCGGGAACACCATGTGCAGCGTCGACGGCGTCAGCAAATGGTACTCGTCCGCCAAGTCGACTTCGTCCTCGGATTCGAGCACCGAGCCAAAGACGTTGGTCGAGAGCAAGCCAAAGAGGCGCTCAAAGAGCGGCATGTTTTCGTTGAGCTGGTTGGCCGTCTCGGGCGTGATACCGTGCGCAATGTGCAAGGCCGACGCGAGTTCGGACGCGTGCGCGCGGAGGTTCATGGGCATGACGCACTTGCCGAGGTGCGTGAGGCCGCGGAAAGCAAAGTCCGCAAACATTGGGCTCGGCAGCAGCGCCAGGATCGGCGCCACCAAGTGCGGCAGCGCAGGCTGGAACGCCTCGGGTGTTGTGCGCGCGACAAACGCGAGGAGCTCGTCCGTGCACGCGACGAGGTGCTTGGCCTCGCGCAAGCGGCCGCGCAGCTCCTTTTGCTGCTGAAGCGTCTCGAGCTCTTCCTTGGTGTACTTGACCTTCTTGGCCGTCGCGTTCGGGTCGGCGGCCCGCTTCCGCGCGAGCTCTTCGCGGACCTGCGCTTCCCAGCGCTCGTCCTCGGTGCCGCGGCCGCGGTGACGAGGCACGTCGTCGGCCTTCTTCTTGGCCTTCGTGTACAGCGTGTCGTCCGGCGTGCAGTAGATGTCGACGTCGTCGTCAGAGACGTTGGCAATCGCAGGGGTCTCGAGCATCGTGGCCACGTGCGACTGGATGAGGTTGCTCAAGACGAGCGCCTCGCCCATGCCGTTGCCAGCAAACTCAAGAAGCGTCACAAGGGCGCGCTGGGCGCTCACACGCTCGAGGCGCGACGCAGCGTAGAGCTTGGACTGCAGGTACGCGACCGTCGCGTCCGTAAGACCCGGCACCGAGTAAAAGAGGTCGTCGACGTGGTCGTGCACCGTCGGCACCATCTCATCCTCGTCATCCTCGTCGTCCTCGTCCTCGTCGCTTTGGTCCTTGGGCGCCTTGGCGGCCGGCGGCGCGAGGTCGTCTTCCGAGACGAAGCGGGCCTTGAGGCGCGTCCACTCGCTCGCAAATGCGTCCTTGCGCGCGCCGTGCACGACGAGCGGGTGGTGGGCGAGAACGAGAAGGCGCGGGAAGAGTGCGACAATCTCCGACTCGTGCGTCGCCGGCAGGAGGCGCGCTGGCACGATCGCGCGCAGGTTGCGGCGAAGGATACCCGCGAGCGACGACTGCGTCGACGGCGCGTTGTAGACGGTCGCGTCGGCGTCGTCGGTCGCGTGCTTGGCCGACCACGGCGTCAGCGTCAAAAGCGCCTGCGCAAACGCCTCCAGAAGCGGCAGCGCCGTCCAGAGCTGGTCCGCGACGAGCGCACGCACATGCTTCTCGCAGTGGTCACGCACGCTGGCGACGCGGTGGTGCAAAAGACCCACGAGCAGCGACATGCTCGAAATCTCGTCCGATTGTGGCACCTATGGACGGCGTGAGATGGTACTGTGGAAAGAAAATCGGTACCTCGCGCCAGACGCGAACGAGCGCCTCGCCTACAGCTTTAAGGGCCGTCTCTTCGGGCGACTCAAGGCTCGCACCGAGCTGCAGCTGGTGGCCGAGGAGCACCACCGACGTCTTGAAGAACGTGGTCGGCGACAAGATCGCGTTCACGTCGTGGACCTCGGGCGCGGACAGGCCAACGTTGGTGAGCGCCACGAGCGCCAGAACACCGTCGAGGTGCGCGACATTCGGCTTCTTCTGCGCTTCGGCGACGACGCTGGCGAGGCGCGGCGCAAGCGGCGCGAGGATCTCGGGGTGCGTGCGCGACACGACGACGAGCGACCGCGCGTATGCCACGACGACGGCCTCCGTCTTGCTCGCGAGGCCTGCCTCGAAGAGCTTTTGGATCTCGGGCGAGAGGGCCGCCGTCGACGGCGTGTGCAGCGAGAGCCACTGGCCGAGCGTCCAGAGCGCCGTGTTGCGCACGACGTCGTTGGCTTCCTTGGCGATGGCCTTGGGCAGGGCGGGGAGCACGAGGTCCGACGCGAGTGCGCGGGCGGCCGTGGACCCGAGCGTCTTGCCGACGGCCGAGGCGACATGCAAAAGGCTCTGGAAGACCGCGTCGCGCATGTAAAACTGCGCCAAGAGGCCAAACTTGCCGTCGAGGAGGCCCACGAGGTCCGTGACGATGGACGTGACGGCCGCTGCGTCACTGCAGCGCGCAATAACGGCCGCGAGCAGCTGGATGCACGCTTCACGCACGTCGTCCTTGACCGACTTGAGCTTGGCGGGAAAGAGCGCGCCAAAGATCGGAGCGACGTACGCGCTGAGGTCGATCTTGGCCGGCAGCGCGCGGACAACGGCCACGGTCGCGTCCAAAAGTGAGTCCGGGGACCGCTTGAGCATGCGCGAGAGCACGGGCGAGATCGTCGCTTCAAAGTCGTGGGCCGTCAGCGTCGCCGTCAGCGCCGTGTACGCGTCGAGGTCGGCGTGCGTCGGGCGGACCTTGGCTTCGAGCGCCTGGTGGACGTAGCTGCCGAGCCAGAGCGCGCGCTCGTCAGCCGAAAACGTCGGCAGAAAGGCCTAGACACGCTTAGCACGAAGAGGAGGGGCGGGCGATCGCTACCTTGAGGAGAAGACGCGCGAGGAGGAACTTGGCGTCGCCCGTCGTCGCTGTCGCGAGGGCAACGTACGCGGCGCGGATCTCGGGGCGGGTCTTGCAGAGCGGCACGATGGCCTTGTGCAGCGCCGCGTGCGTCTCGGGGAACGCGCGGTTGGCTTCGAGGACGATGCACTGCGCCTGGACGAGGCTGTTGAGGCCGGCTGTGTCAAAGGTCGGGGCCGCGAGCACGAGAGCGACCATGCGCACAAGCGTTGTCCGGGCCGTCGGGAAAAGGTGCACGAAGCTCTTGGCACGGGCAACGACGCGCTCGGCGAACGCCGTCGCAAAGCTATCGTCGGCAGCGACGAACATGCCGAGGAGATCGAGGACGTGCTTGGCGCTCATTCGATGCTGGCAGCGAGACACGGTGCTCAGGAGCTGATTGGCCGTCTTCTTGACCGTCGGCGCGACTTGAAAGCTCTCGACGCACGAGGCCTAAGGGGCAGCATGAGCAAGAGCATGGCGAGGTAGACGTACCATGTGGGCGGGGATCGTCGAGGCTGACGGGCGGTAGCAGATCTCATCGAGCAGCTTCTCAAAGACGCTCGCATCGTCGTCCATGGGGATGCTCATCGTCACCAACCGCAATTTGATTGATCGAGTCGAAAGCAGTGGTAAGCAACTGGGCGCCTCTGTCTAGGCTAATGCCTGATTTTATCCCTGAGACAAGGCAATATCCTTCCGGTTTACGGATCGTAAGGCGAAAAAGCGAATGAGTCCATTCCGGACGGATGACCAGCTGGCCAATCACACTTTCCAGCACTGTTCAACCGGGCGCTTGACGTTGGCGCCACGTCCACCATCACTCACATGGTCCTTGATGCAAGGTCCCGGCCTCTTTGATAACACCATCCGAGTCTCTTTACACGGCGTCGTCAAAGTCGTCAAAGCTATACTCGTCGTCGAGCTCATCGCCCGTCCTTGCCTGCTGGGGCTGACGGGCGTCGGCCGCTGTGTCACTGCCAGTGCTGGCTGCTGGTTCATCCGAGGAGGGTGGCGCATCGGATTGCAGCAGAGGAATGTCTATCGTGCTCTCTTCGGTCGCGAGCGTCGGCAGTTCCATCAAGTCGCTGGACTCTTCGGTGCCATGGTCCTCGGGTGTGGTCGCAGGGGCTGTGGACCCGGCGACGTCCAGATCAAAGCCGCAGCATCCGTGCTGGATGGCGTAGAGAAGCTTGTTTCGCAGCAGCGTCGCCAATGCGTCTGGGAGCTCGGTTTCTGGCACGCCGTCGAGGCCAGCGAGGTAGTTGGGAAGCTCGAGCGTATTCTCACACGTCTATCGCATAATATAATTGCACCCTATTCGATGCAGAGGATACTGGGACGTACGTGGGCTTGGGGAAGCCGCTGCACGACCTGCTCCTTCTCTTGCGCCGTCGCCACGGGCCATGGCATTTCCAGTCGAAACAGCTACAGGAATGCGTGCCACCCGCGTCGATTGGAGCGGCTCACCTCGGTCTGTGGCGGCGGGAGTGTCTCGACGCCCGTGACAAACTTGACGAAAGCGCGCTTCTCGGCCGGCGAAAAGCCATCGACGACGCGCCAGAACGCTGTTTGCATCGCGTTGGGCATCGCGTCGTCCGTGACGACCTTGAAGACGTCGCGGACCGTGAACGCGTCACTACACATTTGCTTACGCATTTTTCTGTCCATAGGCTCAAGGTTGGACCTCGGGGGTGGACCACAGACCGCCTTCTGCAGCTGCGCCCCAGTGAACGCGCACGACGCAAATGCCTTGGGCATGGCGTGGTAGAAGCCTCGACGGAGCTCATTGAGCTGCCACTCGATGGCGGCAGCCTTCTCGTGGACAAGGTGGTCGATGTACGCGTCGACGGTCGTGTCGGGGGAAAGTCCGTCCATCTCGAGGACGGTGGCAAAGTCGGGTAGCGAGTGGAGCGCGCGCCAAGCCTCCGAGAGTGCCGGGTCTACTGCTTCGAAGAGGTGACGGTCGGGGGGTGTCTCATCGAGCAGACAGCAGAAAATGCCCGTGTGGAGGCGGAGCGAAATCGTGGTTTGGTGCAGAAGCGCCATGGCAAGAACCCACCCGACGAGCGCGAGTGCATTGCTATGGTCCGGGCTCGCGACGGCGTGCTCGTTGAACCAGTAGCTCTCGGACGCGAGGACGTACTTGAAGAGAGGCACGGTCGGGGCCAGCCAAACGACGTCAGGATGACTGATTAGGACTTCGTCTCCAGGCCACGGCGGATCGATGGCCGCTTGGTCGTGTGACACGCTCACAACATCAAATGTGAACTGCGCCTGGAGGCATAGGCGCCACCCAGGTTGAACGCCGCGCGACCCCAAGTAGGATCGCGGCGCTGTGAGACGCCGTCCGTCGACCGAGATGGCGCCCTCGTCGCCGCCGAAAACAGCGCAGAACGACGTTGCCCAGGCTTCCGAGACGAGTGCAAACCACTCTTTTAGCGGGCCACGGCCCTCGCCGGCCTCAACGCGCTGGAGGTTCACGAACTTCTCGCCGCTCTCGCTTGCAAAGAAGGGGAAGAGGGCTTGCCACGAGCCGTCGTGATCTCGCAGCGCAGACGTTGTTGATGTGAGCATCGAGCGGCGGTCAACAACGAACTTGAGGTTCGAGAGCTCCCGCGTTGGCGGCTCGACGGACGCCATGAGAAGTACGATTTTGGCCGTCGCGTCCCAAAGAAACGGGCGCGTTAATACCGGTGGCATGGCCTCTAGCGTTGCTCGACATAGATCCGACAACTCGGCGCGTGGTGCGGCCATCAAGTATGGGAACACGAGGTGCGCGATCTTGGACACCATCGCCGACGGAGGAGTGGCAGCTTTGGCGTCAAAAAGGGCTGCAAGAAGGTCGAGGGCACTCTGAGCGTCTGGTGGCGGTGCCCATGCGCTCTCGATCGCGTCGCGCATAGTCTCCAGAGCGTCCTCGTAGTTATCTGGATCCGCCGTTTCCGACAACTTGGTTTCGAGGCAGGCGACGACGGGCATCACTGCCGCGTCGACCGACGCCACAAGTGCGCCAAAGAGGATGTCTCGGTCGGCAGTCGGCGTCGCCGTGACCATCATAGACGTCAACACCGGGAACAAATGGGTTGCTTCGGCCCAGAACGGTTGAGGCGGCGCTCCGCTGCAGGTCGCAGCGGCAGTCTCAACAACGCTCGACGAAATGCCTGCAGCGAGCCATGCGTTGCGCCAGGACTGTGTTTGGGCATTGGCTCCCGTCTCGACGTCTGTCGCCTCGTCCAGTGGCTCGTCGTCCGTCGTTAGCTTTTCTTGGTTGTCGAAATCGTCGTCTGCATAGTCCTCGTCGCCGTCGTTGGCGCCGTGTGGCTCGTCGTCCTGGACTTGGGTTTTGGGGCTCGGATCTCTCCAAGTGTCTTCCCCGGAGCGCGGCGTGTCGTCGTGGGTGCTTGTCTCTAGCTGCACGGGATCTTGGCTCGCAGAGACGTGCGCGTCCTCCGTCTCTTCTTCCGTGTCGGACGCGGAATTGTCGCGCACCTCGTCCATGGGCTCATCCGTTGGTTGATAAGTGGGCTCATCTTCTCTAGGCTCGTCCGTTGGCTGATAAGTGGGCTCACTTTCTCTAGGCTCGTCCGTGGGCTGGACCACCATGGTTGGTGTGGACACGTCTACGGCCACCTCACTGCACACAGCAGGCTCGTCCTTTGCCAGTAACGAGAGTGCGCTCTCGTCGTCGGGTGAAGCGTTGGTGCGGCCCGAGACGAGGTTCATTTCAACCATCTCTGTGATGATCGACTGAGCGGCGTAGACGCGACCGAGGCGCTGGTTGGGCTCGATGAGCAGCGGGTTCTGGCGCGTGCTCTTGGCACCGACGACGCTGCTGAGGCCGCGCTCGGCGAGGGCGTCGCCGAGGAAGTCCATATCGCTGTGCATCGTCACAAAGTAGTTGGCGTCGTGCCAGAGAAAGACAGGGGGTAGCGGCGCCGACTTGCCCACGAGCAGCATCCACGCGACGATGGCCTCGACGACGCGGATGCCGGCCATTTGAAGCTCCATGACCATCTACAAACGTACGATGTGGATCGTACGATGTGGATAGGCAGAAAGAAACCTCGCGGAGCACGCTAGCGACCGCATCGCGCTGCGTCGGCGTGATCTTCTTGGCGCCGCGGTGGCGCATCGGCGACGTGGGCACGTCGGCGAGGATCGTGTGCAGCTGCTTGATGATGTTGTCGCGGTACTCGATCGCCGTAATGGCTTTGAGCCGCAGCGTATCGCTTTTCTCGGGTGATTTCTCCTACGTGAGTAGTGTCAGCCGCCAAGTGCCTCGCGACACGTTGTATCACGGGAAGGCGGGGGCTCGTCACGAGCGAACTGGGCGTCAGCGGTTGCAAGCGGACGTTGGGCGGCGTCTTGCGCGGCAAGTTTGCTTTGCGCTGCTTCCGCGATGATGGGTGCTCCGAGACTTGGCGGGAATTGGGCGGCCTTGGCGGCGGTGGCCGAGGCTCAACTCGTGGCTAGCGACGATGCTTAGCAAGGCGGGATAACTGGTATGCGCACCTTGTCGTGGACGAGAGGCTCGAGAAAGTGGTTGTTCCATCCGTCTTCGCGCTGCTTCTCGTACATGAGTCGCTTGGCGGCACTGGAGCCAACAGGCGGGTGGTGCGTTGGTTGCTGGAGCAACTTCCGCGCGGCCCGTTCCCGGCTCGGCGTCGTCATGTTATGGTCCGTTTCAGCTGCAAGAAACGGGTCGCTACTCAATAACGCAATTCGTTCATTGTCTTCAGCACCAAATGCCCACTTTTGACTCGGAAGTTTTGACCACGGAGGCAAGCTACCCTGACGGTCAGTGTGTGTCGGTGGCATGGACCACGCACGACACAGTGCATTTGTGCACACTTGACTCCTGTCAAGGGAATGCTTGAATTCCTTGCTCCTATGTTGGTTTCTTGAGAGTGCATTGGAAAGGGACAACTAGCCGTAGCACAAGCAACAATACGGTAGAGGACCCTCGTGCCACCAAGACCAAGACGGCGAAGTCGAGCCTGGCGCCAGCTCCGCAGCGTAAATTGAATACGGTGATGCCATTGGCTGTTTTTATCCAATGGCCTCGCCTCGTTTTATGGAGATCTTGCACATTCCAATATTCGGGCAAGATGCTACCGCTCCAGCCACACGCGACAGCGCCGCCGGACCCAGCGCTCTTCAAGAGCACGGATGCGCTCCGCCAGTTCATCTCGCCGACGAGCGTCGTCTCCAACACGCCGCAGGCTGTCCCGACCAATAACTGGTGGGGCAACCTCCTCTCGGACAATGGGTCCCAAGACATCGACCCGATCTACCCGAGCCCGTACGCCGTCTTCATCCGAAAGAAGGCGGGCTCCATCGCGTGCAGCTACTTGCACCAGTACGTGCACCACGGTCCGCTCAATGAGAACGGCGCGATCAAGTACTACTTTACGCCACGCGTCGAGAACCTCCAGTTCTCTGGCCTTTTTGCCGCCGCACCGCGCTTCCAAGTCGAGCGGTGGGACGACTTTGGCGTGCAGATCGCCTTTGCAGCGGGCGACGCGTCCTTGCGCTCGTATCAGAGCCTCGGCCAGGCCTTCGCGTCGCTCTCGTACACGAATCTGGCGTTCCGACTTGGGTCCGAGCACGCTTTTGTCTCCATCGACGGCCAACCCGCCAGAGACCGCCAGCTCGTCGGCCGCGCCGATGCTAGAACCAACAGCATGGTCGTGACGCTCAACAACGACCAACGGTGGTTCGTCGCGTGGACGTCGGCTTCGTCGACCAACGTCGTCATTGCATTTGACGTGGCCACGCAGTCGTTCTCGTCGACAGCGCCATTCTCGGGTGTCGTGCAAGCCGCCTTTGTCCCGAACGACGACGTGCTAGCGCTCTACGAGGCGTGCGCCGGCTCGTTTGTCAACGGTGTCGCGCTTCGTGTCGAGAGCGCGCATGCCTTTGCGTACACCTTTAACGTGGCCCACGTCGGTGCGCCGGCGCGTACCTTTCTGCATTTTGCGCTCACGCACCACGAAGCGCTGCTGCAGAGCGTCGACGCGGTTCCGTCCTTGAGCCTCTTTGCCCACTCGCGCGGTCCCATGCGCGCGCACGTCGTCCCGCAGTCTGGCGAGTGGCAGCTGGCGTTTCCCGAGGCCGAAGACGCCAAGCTGGACCTGTTTACAGGTCTACTGCCGCCCATGCGCCCGTCGCCAGCCGACGTGACGGCCCACGGGCTCGTGCAAATCCTAACGGACGAGATCGACGGCGAGTGGCCGCTCCCACCAAGCTATTACTTCAAGGGCAAGGCGCTCCAAAAGTACGGCAGCCTCTGCGTCGTGGCCGCCGACCTCGCCAAGTCGCGTCCCGAGCTCGGTGCCCTCGCAGCGGCTGCCCTGACCAAGTTCAAAGCACTGCTTTCCGACGTGGGCGAGAACGCGAGCACGTACCCGCTGGTCTACGACACTGGTACTCTATTCCGTCTCATTGCACGGAGACGTCATCAAGGATACCCTAGTCTACGGCGGCATCGTATCCTCGGAAGGGTTCCAGAAGCACGACATCAACGTCGAGTTTGGTACGAACTGCTCTTGTGGCCTCTTGCGCAAACGATATCTATTAGGCAACGCGGTCTACAATGACCACCACTACCACTACGGCTACTTTGTCACAGGTATAACGTCTCATGCAGGCATATGCATGCCCATGTATCATGGTAGCGGTGGCGATCGCGTACCACTTGGACCCGAGCTGGGTCGACAAGACGTCGCGGCTGCACCGCTTCGTCGAGACGCTGCTCCGAGACACGCTCAACCCCTCGGCCGATGACGCGTACTTTGCGACATTCCGCAACTTTGACTGGTTCCTCGGCCACTCGTACTCGCACGGCGTGACGCCGATGGTCGACGGCAAGGACGAAGAGAGCACGTCGGAGGAGCTCAATTTTTTCTATGGCGCGCACCTCTGGGCGACCGCGACGGGAAACGCGCCGTGTGTGCTCGATAGATTGATATTTTGTCTGTTCTCACGCAATCTGGCGTAGACTTGGCGCGCTCACCCGCCTCTTGCTCAAGCTCGTGGCGCTCTCGCACCAGACGTACTTTCTGATTGCGGACGACAACGTGACGCACCCGCCGGCGTTCCGGAAAAACAAGGTCAGCGGCATCCTCTTCGACAACAAGGCCGACTACGCCACGTGGTTCAGCCCCAACCGCGAGTGCATCCACGGCATCCAGATGCTGCCCGTGACGCCGATGCTCGCGTACGTCCGGACGCCGACCTTTGTCGCCGAAGAGTGGCACCAGATCCTCGGCAAGCTCTCGCTGGCCCCCGCCAATGCGTGGGCGTCGCTCTTGGCGGTGAACCAGAGCCGCCTTGACCCTGCCGCCGCCGTTGCAACCCTCAAGTCGTGCGCGATGGACGACGGCCTTAGCCGTGCCTTTGCGCTGTACATGGCCATGGCCCACCGTTGTGAGTCGCCGCTCGTCGACGGCGGCTGGGTCTATCTGCGCGTTGTGTAGGAACAGCCCACAGAACTTAACGACGCGATCAACGAGTTTGCATTTCGATTCGTGTCTTCTTTAGTCGCGGACGGCGCGAGCCACTTTGCCGTAGACGGTTGGGAATGCGCCGTCGCACTGGAGCTCCGCGCGCATCTTCTTGTACAGCGTGTGGTCAAACATGGCTTCAAACTCGGGCTCGGTCATGTACGAGTCGGCATACAGCATCTGGAAGCTACGTCGAGATATGCATCGCGCATGTCAATCCGAATCTCAACGTACCCCGAGACGCCACGAACAAACGCTTCGACGCGGCGGGTCGTCTCAATCGGGTGGAAGTTGCCGACTTGCGGCACTCCGTACGCGCCAATGTCGACAAAAATCTCGTCGGACGACTTGGTCTGGAGCATGCCGGGCTCCTTTGGGAGCTTGAACGGGCAGAGCCACAGCGGGTAGATCTAGTGCTGCATCAGATTTGCTCACAAGCGCGTCGTACCTGGACGTGGTCGTGAAAGCACTGCAGCGAGGGCTGGAGCGTCGAGAGGGGCACGAGCATGTCTTGGATAAAGTGATGGTTGTCGTACAGTTCCTTGATCGCCTTGCCTTGTGTGAGCTTGAGGAGCGACACCTTGGGCGGCACGAGCCAGCCCAGAAGGTAACGAAAGACAATGTTGTTGCCAAACGGAATAATGTCCTATCGCAGGTCAACGCCACGTAGAAAGCGTGTCAGCAGTGTACCTGAAGCTCCCAAAAGATGCTGCGCGAGTGACGATGGTAGTAGTCGCGCAGAGGAATGTACTCGGTCACGACATCCTGCTTGGCGAGAATGCCCTCGACGTGCTTGAAGAACCACGGCTTGTGCCATGTGCCAATCGCATTCAGCTGCATTTCGCAACGTTAGCCGCGAGGAATCAATGTCATGTTGTACCTTGGTCGGTTCGTACGACGCCGCCATGGCTCCGGTCATGACAACCCCCGTCTCGAGCGAGAACATGAGCGCCTCCACAAATTGGTGGTCGACCGACTTGCTTTTTGCTCGAAGACGCGGCACGCCTCGTCGAGCGACGTCACGGGGGTGTACTCGATCTTGACGTAGCTAGATTCCAGAAAAGGATGAGTTCTTAGAGGCCAAAATCGAGTACTGTACGGAAGACACGGAATGATTTCAATCTCGACCGCCGTGAGGAGACCGAGCGTGCCGTAGGACCACGGGACGGCATAAAAGAGGTCGGCGTTTGACTCTTTCGAGCACGTGACCACCGACCCGTCCGCGAGCACGAGCTCATACGACTTGCAGATGTGCTGGAAGAGGCCATGGCGGTGCGACGATGTCTCGATGCCCGTGCCCATGACGAGGCCGCCTTGTGCCGCCGTGAGAGATTGCATCCAGAATTCAAAAGGCCGTACCGACAGTGAGGTCGTCGAGCTCCGGCATGATCGGGAGCGTCCACCCGAGCGGGTTGAGCGTCGCCGAGAGCTGGCCCATGGTCACGAGCGGTTCGACGCGCACCGTCTACTAGTCATAAGATACTACATCCGAGACCCGGCTCGTCTACCTTGGTTGACGGGTTGACTTCGAGAATGTCCATCATGTCGACTTTGACGTTAAAGTGCGTCTTCTTGTACTTGCCGCGGCGATACGAAATGTTCTGCCAGCCCGGCCGCGCCGTGCACATGGGCATCGCCCGGCCGCCCGCAATCCATTGCCGCACCTGCTGCAGTTTACGTCGACGGCGCTTTGTGTGAGTGCATACCTGGCGTTGGACGCTAGCGACGCGGTTCTTGTGCTGATGCGGCGCCGAGTTGAGGTAAAAGATGACGCGGCTCCGGAAAAAGTACAAAATGTCGTAGACGAACGAGAGCGGGAGGAGGAAGAAGCACACAAAGACCCAGCGGTAGTGGATGAGCACGTGCGCAGTCCAGGAGGTCGGTGCGGGCGTCTCGGGCGACGCCGCAGCTGCGGGTGGCGACGTCGCGAGCTTCATGTGGCCAAAGGCAAACTGGCAGCGGAATGGAAGATCGCGAAAAGTTCGAACCCTGCGGTTGCGTGACACGATCCCTGCACGTCCGTGCAATGTCATCTTGGGTTTTGTATACCGCCATGTTGAAGGCGCTAGTAAATCCGTGTCACGCAACCGCGATGCGCCACCAGATGGTGCGAGACATCGAAGGTCGCGGACGTCGTTGGTCGGATGATGCGATGGATACCAAGCGCGTCGGCCTCCGCATCAACAAGGAAGACGACACCATCACTGTCGCAGAAGTTTGGCCCTCGGACGACACGAGATGCAGCTCAGAGACGGAGGATGCACACGCGGACTCGAGTTGCGGGAGAGAGGATTGCGCTAGGTATGATCTCGTCCATTCCATGCTATCACTCATTGATGCTATCTGCGTCAAGATCCATCTACTCGCTGAGCGATTGGGTCGCCTCGAGGTACCAGTCGCACTCGGCCTGGATCGATGCAGTGGTGTCCACGCAGTCGCGAAGCCCATTTTGCTGAAACCAAATGTGGTTCTCGATCCAGATTCGGTAGATGAACTCGTCGAACGACGCGGCGCAGAGAACGGCTTCGTCGTGGATCGCACGGAACACGTCGTTTTCGTCGTCCACGCCATTGTCGTCGGCGATGCTGCCTGGCGCCAAGAGGAGCAGCGGCGCCGAGAGGATGCAGCCCGCGTGCGCGCCGTCAAGTACAAGGTACCAAAGCACGCAGTCCTGCTGGTCGCGGTAGAAGAGAAGCACGGTAAACTGCAGCGTCGGCACGTACACGGGCTCGCCGAGGTAAAAGTACGACGACGTGCAGCTCGGCACGAGCGCCTGGAGCTCTCGCGCGGCCATGAACCGCTTGAACGCTCCTGACAGCTCGTGTGTGGTCTCGAGTCGCGTCAGAAGCTCGTGCGTCCGCAAGCTTCCCGCGTCGTCGCTAGGGTCGGTGCGAGGCGGGGCGTCCGGGAGGAACGCCAAGTTCGCGCACTTGGCAGCGGGAATCTCGGGAATCGCAGTCTTGTAGAGCTCGTATGTGGAGGCGCACGGCCGCGTCCCGCCGAGGTCCGAGCCATACCACGCCCACTGCAGCCCCATGCGTGGTTCTCGCGTGCGCGTCGAAATTCTAAGATTCGCCACAATATCGAAGGCCCATTCGACGCTTCTGATTGGCTTGTGTAAATATAGAGCACCCGGCCGATGAGTTTTACGGTACAAATCGGTGGGCGATCTCTTACTACTCCACGCACCTCGGTTGCTCTCGCAGACCTTGCCACTCGGGCAACAGCGACGGGCCACGATAGCACCACACAATCTCGTTTTCACCTAGACCGCTGCAAGCACCACTGTACCTTCGTGGCAACAAACCGTACTGCCGCCGTAAGAACTTCCGCACAACTTGAAGAACGATATCCCGTGGAGGGTGTACGAGCGGCGCGCGTGCAACCCAAACAATCCGCGCGTGGCGTTGACATCGCGAACGTTAAACTATTGCTTCAGACGACACCGTTTTGATACCGGAGGCGGGCGTATTATTAGACGCGTCAACTCAGATCGTAGATGCGCGCGCTGCTGCTGCTGCTGCTGGCAATGGCACTCGCCGTGTCTCCGAGAAACATCCCTCAGCGCGAGGGAAAGACCACGTTCGACTTTACCTCGGTCTACCTGCTCGACCTCGTGCGCTTAAACGCATCCAACACGGCGGGCCGAGATACGTTTACACTCTCGATCGATGTGGCCGTCGACAAACTCCCACCACCCAACTCGTTTCTCTTTCTGCGTTTTTGCACGTCCAGCCGCCTGCTATTTGAGGCCGCCATGACCAGCAATGGCATGGTACCATACAACGCCTCGATGTGTCGAGGCACGACCACGACCCAGTGCGACTCGTACCCGGTGATCCTCACCTCGGGGAGGCCCACGAGTGTCTTGAACAAAGGCAGCTTGAGGGTTGCTGGCGCGCTCAACACGGACGGTGCCTTCAAATCCAGTCAACATTCGGCGACAAAAATGACGGGTTTCTAGGCGGTCGCGACAGCTACGACGTGCTGCTCGATTTGTGTGCCCTCGAGCGCGACTTCTCGTTCGTGCTCCAAGGCGACTTGTCTTGGAGGCTTTGTCCCGGAAACCAAATCTGCTTTGAGAACGGAACAACCTTTGGGCTCGCGTTGCTCTACGCTGCGTATGCGCTCGTGTGGGGTCTTGTCGTGCTTGTCTGGACGGCGCACCTTTATCACTTTCGCCGCGCGTGTATCGTGCTCCAGCGCCGAATGCTCCTCGTGCCCTTCGCAGAGGTGCGCCGCGTTCTGCTGCGCGAGGTTCGTATGTGGCTTCTGTAGTGTGTCTACATGGTCCTGACCGCGGTCCACAACCACAGTGACAGCGGTCTCTCGCGCGGCCTCGTCGTTGCCACCCTTTTCTGTCGCGTGGTTTCGCTTGCGACGGCGGCCAACGAGATGCTCCTCATCGCGCACGGCTGGAAGATCACGCGGGACGACTTGAGCACGCAGCTAAGCATCCAGTATCTGCTTCTTTCGCTCGCATGGGCGCTGGCGCTCGCGATGGTCGACGGCGCGACGGCCGCACCGCTCATTGTCTTTGTCGTTTGGTGCGTTCTCTGGACGTGCCTCGTCTACACGTACCGCATCGTTTTACGGTATCAAGTTGATACTATGACAGATCTCCATAGAGCGTGGTCGCGCTTGGCGTTCAACATTGCCATTTTGCACATGCAAATGGACTTGATCGCGGGGGTGCTCATCGACCCGCACACGACGCCCGTGGCGGCCAAGCTGCAGCTCTTCGTGGCCTTTCGGAGGGGTCTCGTCGCGTACTTTGTCGCTGTCTTCTTCGTCAACGTCGCGCTCCATGAGATCGTGCCCGTCACCATGGGGGGTCTCGTCTCCCTCGTGCTCGAGGGGCTCTACGTTTTCTTCTGCGTCAGCATCGGGTGCATCTTTCGCTGCCGCGACTTTAGCCCTATCTTCTACGTGACGTTTCCTCAGCAGGCACACGCGATCGCACCGGCACCACCGGCGAATCGTACGCTCCAGCGTGCCTACAGAGGGTATATAAACGCATTGTAGATACGTGGACGATGACCGAGTGGCACGAAGGCATCGGACTTCCGACGGTGCCCGCGCATGTCTTGCAGAACAAGTCACGCAACGTCGTCGTGCAGAGCCCTGGTGACGCCACGGGCCTTGGCACAGTCTTGCCCAAGCCGACCGCCGACCCGTAGAAGCGATTGATAAATTGATAGATTTGGCCCGCGTGTGTTTCTTTAAAAACCTATTAAACGTGTGCGTGACGCCGATCTCGTCACCAGAGATCGGTCCCATAGCAGGGAAAAATGGACAGGATTTACAGACGTGGCATATATATGCACCCTATGAGCCTCGACTCCAATACCTATTGCCATGAAAATGAGAGCTGCTTGGTGCTTAAACGTCGCGGCATAGGAATTTAACCCGTGGAGATTTACCCACTGGAGTGAAAGCAAGATGTAGTTGTATTATGTCATGTCTAGCTGTACTGTGGCTCTCGTCCCCGACTCTAATTTTCGAGAAAGGTCTGGACGGGGTTGGGGACGATGTCCGAGATAGGCGTTCTGCGAAGCACAACCTCGACCATGCCTTCGTCCCAGAAGTTTTTGTTCACGGATAGGAACATGATGACCTCGAAGGTGACGGGAAGCATGCGCTTTCTGCGATCAGAGTAGACGAGCTTGGCACAACGCGAGGCCCGCATCTGCACTTTGTGACGGAAGCGATCACGGGGGCGGTCATGGTGCGCGCGTTTGGGCCCAAGCAGACGCGGTGCTTCCACCGCCTCCACATGACGCACGTCAACGCACACCAAGAGGCGAGCTACGTGCACGAGACGCTCCTGCAGTGGTTCTCGCTGCGCATGCAGCTGCTGCACGCGCTTCTGATGCTGGTGATGCTCCTCGCACTCGTCTCGCTGCGCCACGCGCTCTCGCCCGGCATCATTGGCCTCGTCTTCAACTACGCGCTCCTCGTGCCGCCCCACGTCGAGTTCATCGTCAACGTGTGGTCGAGTCTGGCCGCCGCCATGGGCAGCGTTGCGCACGTCTTGACAGCGACCGGCCCGCGTGTAGATATCGACACAGTTGATTTTTATCCTCTATAACGTTTTGGCTTGCGTTTTGGTCGACTCGCGTGGGCTCGTTCAGTAGCAAAGAGGGTGGGGCGCGGAGAAGGGCGCCGTCGTTGAAGTGGAGCAACGGGCGTTTGCTTGGTCCGGATAATGCGCGGCGCACAGCCTGCCAGCTCAGAGTCGTCCGGATATGAAAATCGAATCCAACGGGCTCGTGGCACAAAATGGGCTCGTGGTGTCATTCTCCAACAAGCCATGCAAGTGACAGACGACGTCAAGAAGGCGCGGAAGCGCATTGCCGCCAAGAAGTACTACGCTGCGAACAAGGAGAAGCTCGCGGCCAGAACAAGGCGTACTACGAGAAGAACCGCGCGCAAGCGCTGGCGAAGAAGAAGGAATA